TTGGGTGATGATAGGAATGTTTTCCTTGGCAAGGAATTGCTGCACAAGTGATGTGTGGCTCAGTGCGTTTTCATGATGCAGAAACCACTGTCCCAACCACTTGTCATGCCACTTCCTCTGAACTGTACTGTGCAACCTCTACAAAAGTTACACATAGAACTGACTAGTAACACTTTGTCCAGGTGATATAAACTCATGATGCACCAAACCGTCAATATCAAAGAATGCAATGAGCATTTCCTTGGATCTAACAAGGCGTGATTTCCTTGGTTGGGGAGACAACACTATGTGCCACTCTGATGACTGCATCTTCATCTCTGGGTTGTAGGCAAACACCAATGCCTCATCACCAGTGATGATGTATTTGAGAAACGTTGGGTCTTGCATACTTTTCTCAAACAAATTTCCAGCAACTATCATGCGAGAGTCCATCTGATCTGTGCTCAGCTACCTCGGCACAAACTTTGCACTGACAGGTCTCATCTTCAAATAGTCGGATAGGACGGCATGAATGGATTCATGAGAGATACCAGCTTCTTGCTCCAACTCCACAATGGTCATTTATCGATCAGATCAAATCAGATGTCACACTTTCTCAATCATTTCTTCGGTTCTGGATGTCAAAGGCCTCCCGCTGCACTGGTCATTCTCCAACATTTCTCCATTCTTAAACCAGGAAAACCAGTCGTAAACTGGATTTCTTCAGTGCAGTATTACCATAAACTTACTGCAGGGCCGATAGCATCTCTGAAGCAGATTTCCCCAATTTGCACATGAACTTGATGTTTGCAGGCTGTTCAAACTGCGACATTGCACTGAATGACCAACACTCATGTCTAACTCAAATGGAACAGTAACAACACTGCATGCCAAAACCTGTCCAGACCTGTTGCACCTGCAAGCAGACATGCTGAGCTCCCCACCACAACAATGTGTACACTATCTTATTTCTCATTCTCCAGCTGCAGGGGAATTTCAGGAACTTTTCAACTGCCCATCATAGAACAGTATGAGTTCCTACATTTCAGTTAACACCAACATTTAAATGTCCAGCAAGAATGTGTTATGTTATTAAATTCAAGGTGGAACAGTATATTTCTAGTCAACTAAGTTTGAAGATTTTGACAATGGTGTGACACACTGATCTAAACTATTCCTTTGTTCTTCATCCATTGTACCATCTTTTAAAACTATAATGCTTACAAAATCGGCCTTATTTCCATCATCAAATGAACAGAAACCACTGTTTGAGGGTACAGAGGGACCAAACAGTAGATTTCTTGTAGGATTTGAGGTTCTCACAGGAATGGTTATGAAGAATTCTACCTTCTGGGATACAATGATGTCTTATCTGTTGAAAGTCAACCCATGTTTCTGACTTTCATGCTGGTTTCTCACTTGGCTTATTCTTGGACCCTGAAGATGGAGATGACATGTTCCTCCAAAACATGAGTTGACTTCAGTGGATTACATCATGTTATATCCCAGAAGACAGAACTCTTCAGAGTAGATTTCTGTTTACCTGATAATGGAAGTGATTTTAAAAAACTGGGATGATGGACAAACTCCTAACAAATAATCTCAGTCAGTCTGCCATCAAATAAATTTAAATTCAGTTTAGTGTAATTATATGTAGTTGATGATTCAGGTGTTACCAACTGTTTATCAGATACTTGCTAACTTGGGAAATTGGTCTTCTCTCAATGAGTAGCCAGTCCAGCAAAACCATGTGTCTCACTGGTGATGAATGTTGTAATGTCACGGAAAGCACTGAATAAGGGGAAGATTCGCCACCTCTACTGAACTAATAGAGCCAGCCTGCTTATTGCTGAGCAAACTGGGCCAAGGGACTGATCTCATCTCAATATGGGAGGCAGTGGAGTCGGTGTATACATGGCCAACAAGTTTGAAGGAGAGTTGAGCCTTGAACAAGCAGGCAACAGAAAGACACGAGGCATCTTGTTTTGGACTAAGCATTAGAATGAAGCTCAGAGAAGGATGTTCTCCATGATAGATGGGAAGTGGGCCATGATTCAGCCTCTGAAAGAATGGCATAAGTGTCAAGGATCATATCCCTTCCTCCTTGCTTTCTGTACCAAATAGTACTTTAAAGTTATAAGTGTGAAATTAATTGGTTGAAGGATATTGGTGCTAATAGTTGCTGGGGTAGCCACTACAGACCATGGAATTCTTCTTGAGTGTGACTTGCTATCAGGTTAGAACACTCTTAGATGCATGTGGTGACCATCTTGTATGCCATCTTACAGTTCTTCAATTTGTTTTACTAGTGTGCAAAAAGACAATATGAATCAGTGTGTGTAATCAATTTCTTGTCGGTGTATGCTAATTGCAATTTTAGGACTACAGGTAATACAAGGTGTGGCAATAAAGAACCCAGATTACTTTTATGACTCANTTACTGGTAATATACAGAATGGGAGAATTATTAGCAATAAGCCTGTATACGTAATATAGCGGTTCTTTGTATGATAGGGTACTGACATGTGTTTAGTGGAGTTGATATGAATGCTCTTATCTCGAGGCTGATTTCTGGACTGGGGTAAGTGTCCCGAAAGACATTCTTTATTTTTTTCTTCATATCCAAAGGGATTCATCTTTACCATGTAGCACTTTCAAGAATTTTGTTAATTTAAACCTTATTATTGGAATATACCTATTCTGTTATGAGAAATTAACACCAGAGCAGTTTCACTTATTGTGATCTGCAGTTGTAGCCAATTGTGGTGGAACTGTTCTATACAAACTCCATGGCTTGAGTCCTCAAGTGAACTATACTGACTGAGCGACCGCTGCTTGTGGGTGAAGTCAGTGCCAACTTTAACAGATGGAGAGTGTTGCGTGGTCAGCGTAACAAATCCCCACGGCTGTTAATTTCAGTTTTCTGGATCAGAGCCGCTATTTCCTCAAAATAGCTTCCTATAATTATTGCCTGAACCCCCTACAGTGACAACGCCTGTCCGACAACTTATTACTGGAATGACTCAGGCATATCCTGGTCCCTGATGCACAGCTGAACTATCTTCCTATCCAATGTAAACATCAACATATTCCTGCTCTTCCTACGAGGGGTTAAAGCAAAACTTCCATAATACAAAGAGAAACTGTCTCCAAATTAAAAAAAAAGTAGCAGTTTGGACATGTGTCCAGTAAAGTGTGAAAGTTGAATGTGTTAGAAATCTCAGCATAACAACTGAAGGCAAACATAGTGGGTGTGGTGATCAGATGCTTCAGGCAATCTTATCATTACACAATTAAAAAGTAAGGAATTTTTGGAAGTCCTGATGGCTATGTAGATGACCAGGTTTGGGACACTGATGAGCAACAGTAGTAATAGTAATGGAGTATAATTATATGGAACTGTACCTTGTACACAGCCACAATGTATCGAGAATGTAGAACGGGGCAGAACCATGAAATTTCAGCACTGCCAACCTATGAGCAGCCATCAGCATCAAAGTAACGTTACCTTTATTCTTTACTGAGGTACTGGCATAAGTTTCAAAACATAGCTTGTTATCATTAAGGTATAGCTTATTTCTCTTATTCAACTATGAATATTCTGTACCTTCCCTTTCACAAAGAGGTTACCCTCACACATAAAAATAACAAATGGTGCCTACTTTCACCACCTGCATACAGAGGCCTCACACATCCAAATTTGAAGTTCAGCTGCAGATTAGCAGTATCATCATTATAACTGTAATTTCCAAGAAATACACACATAAAAGCAACAGATATGATATGACTAGCTGAAATGAAGCTGAGGAAAGAATGAACGCAGATCCTTCCCTGACCTGTCTGCCCTGGAGTTACCTCCTCCCCACTCCTACTAGCTGTCACGTGTATTCTGGCACTTGCTTCATCTGCAGGCATCTCTGTGTTATTGGTGGGTGAACAGACTTGAACACCAACCACCTGACTCTTTAAATCCACTTCTGGGTCCACTAAAGAGATAAAGTCACACATAAAAAACAAACCAATCCGTCTTTATTATTTTATCTTTCTTGCTGCATGAAACCATACACTGCAGTACTATGTACAACAACAAAGTATTTTCCTTGGTTGGAAGCTGATGACTTTGAGACTTACGTGCTCATAGATACACATCCTAATCATCAGAAACCTATAAGCATACATTCACTGTGTGTGGTCTGGTTATAAAGAATCAACACTATGCTGACAAACAGGTTTCTGTGATGTGATGCCATGTAGTTTCATAGGTTGGTCCCTACATGCACCAAACTACGAGAGATATCCAGAAAGTAAAAATGCAAGGAACATATATTTTTCAGAAATGGCAGAGTCACTGTCTGAGATAGGAACAGTATGACAGGGCTGAGTTCACCGGCCACAGTCACAGCAACGTTGTGCTCACTGTGTGTGTTTAAAATGGCCATATCGATTCAAAATCCCACCAAATGTGAGGTTCGTGCAGTGATTCGATTTCTTTGTGTGAAAGGCGATACTGCTGCTGAAATTCATCATCAACTTGTTTCTGTTTATGGCAAAGATGTTATGAACAGTCAAAACATGGCAAAATGGTATTGTGAATTTGAAGTGGGAAGAAGTGATGTTCATGATGAAATAAGGAGTGGAAGGCCATCCGTTGTCACATGAAATCATTAAAAAAATTGATGAAATCATTCATGCTGACAGACAATTAACCATTAATGAACTTTGTCAACAATGTCCAGAAGTGTTAAGAACTGTTCTCCATGGCTAAGAGAGCAGGCGAGAGATATCTACAATGCTGGAATAAAAAAACTCGTTCCCAGGCTCACTATTTTTTCTTTATTGCCAGTGGGTGGGACTAAGTCCCTTGTACTGCGGCCACTTCTGGCCTATTGTACCAGCCCCAGATGATAGGTGAGGGTGATTGTGGAGCATTTGGTGGAATGAAGGTTGGCAGGGGAAACTGAAGTACTGGGAGAAAACCTGCCCCAGCGCCACTTTGTCCACCACAAATCCCACTTGACCAGACCCGGGATCGAACCCAGGCTGTCGAGGTGGGAAGGCAGCGACTAACCGCTTGAGCTATGGCGTGGCCTCCCAGGCTCATTAAGTGCATTGAGATCCATGGTGACTATGCTGGAAAGTAAATAAAGGTGTGTTGTAAAAGTGCTACAAGTGAATAAAGAAAATTCTTTACAAATGTTTTCTGGACGTTGTATCTTTACTTTCTGGATATCCTTCGAACACCACATCACATCCCTGAAGACCATAAGTTTAATATTCACTGCTGTAACAATCCCAGATCTCATACAGTGTTCTGAGTTCATCATGAATCACAATGGTGACACAGGGACCAGGCCAGTTTTTCTTAGGTTCCACTCCTCTCCTTACCACCCTTTTTTCTCCGCCCATCCACACAGACATATGAGTATATGCACAAGTGGCAGCACCTGATGGCATGGATGGGCACAGGAATTATAAGACCTCATGCATGCTGAATCATAAATGGGTCAAGGGAACCACATTGACCAAGTCCGAGCTGAATGTGTTGCATGTGGATCTCCACACAATTCTGGAACATCCGTTGGTTTTTTGGACTTAGACGTGAACGGATCTCTTCCATTGAGTCTTGAAGGACCTTCACCTCATATGCATTACGGTCTGCGTCTGACAAGCTCTGCAACCGACAGCAATTCAAATGCAATAATGTAAACTGTAAACAGGTAAATTACATGTATATTCATTACATCAATAAACACTGAAAATGTACTTGTACTTCAAGTACAACCATAAAATTTATCACTCACCATTTACACAAAGGAAAATGTATTCACTCAAGCAGCCATTACAATATCTTCTGTGTACAGATGTGAACAGATGGAGAATAGTAACAACAACATGCTCCTACTGCCGATGATGATAAATGTGGCAAACTCTAAAGCACCACAGATTTTCCCATCACATTCCCGCTCCCCAGTTAAGATTATTAATACAGACAATCCAGGTCATGATTAATCCATGCATTAGCTTATGTTCCTGTGCTACAATAACCATGGCCATTAATCACAGAGATAGCTGTGGTGACTCTGTGTACCATCTGCTCTAACATTCAAAACCACATTACCCTCTCACATGGTATATTCATGTGACTCACATCATTCCCAGAACAAACAGCAATTACAACCCTCCCTCCCCTTGACTCAAGCTAACTCAGCTTACCTTCACTTGCAGTACAAATGGAGCCAGTCAAGTGATCATTAACCTCACCTTCACTTGCAGCATGAGTCTCACCTTCACTTGCAACTTGAGTGGAACCAGCCAACTGATCGTGAACCTCACCTTCACTTGCAGCATGAGTGGAACGAGCCAACTGATCATGAACCTCACTTTCACTTGCAACTTGAGGGGAACCAGCCAACTGATCGTGAACCTCACCTTCACTTGCAGCATGAGTGGAACCAGCCAACTGATCGTGAACCTCACCTTCACTTGCAGCATGAGTGGAACCAGCCAACTGATCGTGAACCTCACCTTCACTTGCAGCATGAGTGGAACCAGCCAACTGATCGTGAACCTCACCTTCACTTGCAGCATGAGTGGAACCAGCCAACTGATCGTGAACCTCACCTTCACTTGCAGCATGAGTGGAACCAGCCAACTGATCGTGAACCTCACCTTCACTTGCAGCATGAGTGGAACCAGCCAACTGATCGTGAACCTCACCTTCACTTGCAGCATGAGTGGAACCAGCCAACTGATCGTGAACCTCACCTTCACTTGCAGCATGAGTGGAACCAGCCAACTGATCGTGAACCTCACCTTCACTTGCAGCATGAGTGGAACCAGCCAACTGATCGTGAACCTCACCTTCACTTGCAGCATGAGTGGAACCAGCCAACTGATCGTGAACCTCACCTTCACTTGCAGCATGAGTGGAACCAGCCAACTGATCGTGAACCTCACCTTCACTTGCAGCATGAGTGGAACCAGCCAACTGATCGTGAACCTCACCTTCACTTGCAGCATGAGTGGAACCAGCCAACTGATCGTGAACCTCACCTTCACTTGCAGCATGAGTTGAACCAGCCAACTGATCATGAATCTCACCTTCACTTGCAACATGAGTGCAGTGAGCTGTGTGATGAGGCTCAGCATACGCTCGCTCTTGACTGGAAGGCGGACCTCTGAATGTGTGTTGTGCTTCACCACAAGATCTCGTGCCTCCTCCTGACTCCTCTCACGAAGATGAGATGGGGCTAGCATGGCTGCAATGCTAGGCTCTGGGGCAATCTGCACAAAATGTAATACCATGTGTGCAGTCTGATTTGAAGGGATCATTGGCACAACTGCACTTTAAGTACTGTACAATACACGATGTTAATCTTAGTACTGAAATCACAGAAAGAAGTGCCACAGAATAACCCTGTCAACATCTCCTTTCAGCTGTTATGCTCCCTTCCCCACTCCTCCACTGCAATCTTCCCCACATGGCCCTGCAGTTGTCTAGCTATTCACACAAATGTTGGTAGTGATGATCACCTTCCCTAGTGAACTACTGTGAACTTGGGTTTGAGCTTCTCACAACAGTGACTATGGGGCAGTGACATACATGCAAAGTGTTTCCTCAGGAAATACCCGCTAAAAGAACTAGAGAACTGTTACAGTGAAACAGGAAACACCTGAGAAAACTGACTGTACTTCTCACAGGATACTGTCAATGAAAATACACCTAATCAAACTGCAGCTAATATCTAGCTCCACCTGTAAAAAAGTACAACAAAGATGAAATGGCCTCACATGTCCTATTTGACTATGAGGTTGTACTTGAATTAAGGTTTGGTCACTTGGGACTCAATTTCCTGAAGCCAAGTGACAATCAAGAGGCTTCATTATGCGAAGTACAGTCAACTCTCGATTATCCGGGATAATGGTGGGGATGGAAATCACGATTAATCGAAAACCCGGTTAACACAAATTTTATTAAAAGTAGTACTGTAATACTGTACCTTCATAATACTATAGGCCTACCTGTATTTAAATTTATTCAACCTCATTTTTATGTCATCTCATGGCCTATTTAAT